AAAAAAAAAAAAAAAAAAAAAAAAAAAAAAAAAAAAAAAAAAAAAAAAAAAAAAAAAAAAAAAAAAAAAAAAAAAAAAAAAAAGGAAAAAAACCTGGACTTTGTAGCATATCTTTAGAATATTTCATCATCTATGTTAGTGCAGAGATCCCTGAGCAAATTACCTCCAGTTTGGTTTAAAACTAGAAACTGCCCTGAAAAATGTGTGAAACTCCTGTACTCTACCATGTTTCATTTCTTGTGCCCATCAGACTGCTGGCAAAGCAATGTCAGAACATTCTGAATCAAAGCATCTGAAGGAGCAGCCCAATTTGCAAGCACTGAGCTCCCAAATACCAAACTCAGCTGAAGCAGTGGAAAAGCCACTTTGCTTGACAAAATCCCCAGCCACCTTCATGTGGCCAGATTCCTGCGAGGTTTTTCTGTTTGTCCCTGTGATGGTGGCCTGAATTCCAGATTTTTATTTCAAAAAGGCACAATCTGGCTGAGAAGGACCACGTGAATGTGTAAGTTCTGCCCAGACACTTGCATTCTTTAGCATATTTCAGCCCAGGCATAGTATAGGCACAGCCCATTTCATAAAATATAGGTTTAGACACTGCTGGATGGGCCTCTAAAAGGCAAAATTATCTATAAAGTGTTGCCAGCCCAACTTTACGTAGTTTTAACTTAGATTTAGGAATCTTTACAGCTTGGCATGCAAAATTCAGCACAGACACATCTTTAATATGTCAACACATGGGCACTACATCTAAATGCTCACAATGATGTATTGTGCATTTTTCAAGGGGTTTGTCCAGCAGTGAATCATCGTGGCTCAGGAGAATAAGACAAAAGCCCACCAAAGTTGTTCAGGAAGTTATCCTTGCAAATTTTTAGGGAAAATGAGAAAAATTCCTGATTTAAAACAATATTTTTGACACATTTTTCTGCCTCTTAAGATTTGGCACAAGATTTTCTTTCAGTCTCTTAATGATAGAATTTCTTTCAATAAACAGTTTACTTTAGAAAGAGTTTAGAAAGCTCTTGCTTCTTCCAGAAAGCCTTCTTTCTGGTGGCCCGGCAAGCATGATGATTATTTTGGCATTGCTGTGTGATTTTGCAGTTCCATAGTCCCAAAGAAGGTAAAAAATCACTTTTTACCTTACCTTTGTCACCTGTTCTTCAGGTGACATCAAATTCCATTGGATTTAATGGACAGCTACCATAAAGAGGAGTAATAATCAGATCATAATTCATATTTTTGAGGCATGTTTATACTATCCTCAGTGTCAGAAGTGTGTATAGGGGGTTTAATAGCATAACTAACATTTTGAGCACATGATTTTTTTCCTGAAGATGACACTGTATTATTGAGAGCAGTATTTTGTCACCTTTCTGTAAGCAGGAATAACAAAATGTCTTAGACTTTGTATGTATGATTATATGAAGTTAAAGTAACACATATTTGCTTTTTCAAAATGGATCATAAAATATGTGTCAATTTATAAATTCTGCTTGCATGACACTTGGGAAAGAGAAAGTTCATTTTGCAGTGAATCAACAGCAAAGATAAGGTCAAAAATAGTATTTAAAAAATTTTAAAATTTTAAAAGTTATTTTTAAATCACTGGTAGTTGAAAATTACTGTGTAGTCTTCTTGAGAAAGACTGAAAGTTAAAGAGAAGGTATTTATGTTGGAGTATTGGCTTTGAACTTCTCTAAGAGAGCTATACAATATTTAGGCACTATTCTGAGGGTTAGCATAGAAAAATTTGAGATTAGATACATAGCAACAGGAAAAAATGAGCTAAGAACCACACCTGTAATTCTTCACCACTGAAAGAGATTAACTTATTGAAATAACTCAGTTCAACATTTGTAAAAATGAATTTATAGAAATAAAAAGGTAAAGATTCAATCCTTTAGCCTTCACATGAGCAAAAGTTAAAGAAAATACAGTGACATGAAGAAAGTTGTATTTAATTGCAAGATTTCAGGATGAAACAATGATTTTTGTGTTCTGTGAGAAAAGCACAGGCATCTGCAGCATCTTGGATTCCAGCAGCTCATCCCACAGATGCTGTGAGAGCCATTGCAGCTTTGGGGTGAATCTCTTTCCTCCTGGTCACTATGTGAACACTCAGCAGTGATCACCTGGAGCAGAACATTCTGCACTACTTCCTATTTCCCCTTACCACTGACACCAGTGGAAAGAGCTCATTGTGACTTCACTGAAGTTCAAGTGCACTTTTGTGAGTGGTCTATGACAGGTGTTTGTTATAAAAATAATTATCAGCAACAATTTTGATTAATGCTATGTGCTGTTTCTTCTAGAAACGGCATATTCTACCAAGGTTAAATACTTAATATATTATGTTTAAGAAGCTGAAAGGCTGTACAAGTTTTGTATAAGTAATGAGATTAGCTGCCTACTGCTCTCGTGGGAAGCCAAACCAGCTGAGATTGATCCAGACGTGACTCAGTAATATCTGGATGTATCATATGATAGACAAAAAATTCCTATTTCAGATAGCCACAGCAGCAGAGCCTGGTCACTATGGGATGTTACTGTATCAGGGCTGCTTGCTATTTTACATATTTTATGCAATTAAGGACTATGTAATCCTCCTCTACTAAGAGAAACAAGCAGGAATGTGCCATCTGGGCTTTTCTTCTCCATTATGGTGTGATATGATAAATTATGTACCTTTCCCAAATCAATCATCATTTATTTATTAAATGCTATTATTTTGCTAATAATTATTGCTGCTACTTAGTAGCCATAGCATCAAAGCCATGCCAGTGCTGAGCTTTCTAAAAAAAGGGCCAGAGCTCCTTGCACAGCATAAATAAACAAAGCACCCTTGCCCAGCAGGCTTTACAGCCTCAAATTCCAGCTCAGAAAAGGACTCGGGACCTTTCTGCAAGGCTTGAATTACAGAATCCAATCCCGTTTAATGCATCCCTGCAAAACAATATTCCGTTCCTGCTGCCTCGCAGGAAAATCTATTAATATGGGTTTCCTTTGAGCATCTGCAATGGCACAGTGGAGCCATGCTGCCCTGGGAAGAAGTGCTTATGTAACTGTGCAGCTTTTCCTCTCCTGGGAAAAAACCTTCCAGGTTTGCAATGGCACTGACAGTGCTGCAAACCACATCCAATAGCCAGAAATCAGGGCTGTGTTATGATGCTAATTAGCAACATTTCAACTTCATATGCTTTATTTATAATTTACTTTCTGTTCTAGTACTTTCTAGTTCTTCTACGATTTTGAAAGGAATTGTTGAAATTCTACGTGGACCAGTCATTATGGGAATTTCAATATTAAAATAATTGGTCGTGTATAAATGTGCTTTGGCGCTGTAAAACTTCATTGACCCTCCAGCAGAGGGCAACATCTGAAAGAAATATTTCTATAATCCCAAAGTGCAGTTCCTTTTAGGATTGTAACTACATCATATATCAGGGAATAATCCTTTGAAAATACAGTTTGGATTTAGTTATCCACTGGGCAAGTGAAGGACCTTAATAATATTAAAAGGAATTGTTTAAAACAGAAATTTATTTCTTTAAAGTAGCACATTACAGAAACTTTAAGATTAAAATGAAATAAGAGGAATATAATGGTGATGGCTTAGAAATACCGGTTTTGCATCTTCCATTTTCTTCAAAGAGATGAAAGTTTCTTATTATTCGATTCTGAAAGGAAAAATAATTCTCTTCAGAATATGCTCAGTTCATTCCAGTGCTGTAAACACCACAACTCAAGATTGAGCGTTGCAGTGGCCTACTCAGAGGCATGAAAACAGCCAAAAGAGAGATGGAATATATGGAACGCTTTAGAGAAAGCAGTCCCTAATGGATTCCTAACATCATCTAAAATAAGCTGTGCGAGTAAACGTGAATACAGCTGTAAAGATACCTATATAAACCTGTATGTATACACCTATATAAACCTGTATGTGTATACCTATAGAAACCTGTATGTGTATACCTATATAAACCTGTATGTATACACCTATAGAAACCTGTATGTGTATACCTATATAAACCTGTATGTATACACCTATATAAATCTGTATGTGTATACCTATATAAACCTATATGTGTATACCTATATAAAGCTGTCTGTATATACTTATATAAACCTGTATGTACATACCTATATAAACCTGTATGTATATACCTATATAAACCTACATCTATATACTGATATAAACCTGTATGTACATACCTACATAAACCTACATCTATATACCTATATAAACCTGTATCTATATATCTCTATATCTATATATATCTATATATCTCATATATATATAATATATATATTATATATATATATTATATATATTATATATATATATTATATATATATTATATATATATATATATATATATATATATATATAATCCTGTATAATCCACTTACATAAACCCACAGGCACATAAAGCGGCAAGGCAAGTGTTCGGCCCTAGAGCAGCAGCACTGCGCCGTGCCCGCTCTGCCAGGAGCAGGATGCCCGCCCGGGGCCGCGTTCTTTGCGCCCACCGCGCCGCGCCGGGAGCGCCATTGCCCGCCCGGGCCGCGGCGCTGCCCGCGGTGCTGAACTGAGATTTTGAGCGCGTCAGGATTTTTTTTTTTTTTTTTTTAACCCTGAAGACGCATTATCGAGAGCAGCATTTTGCCAGCTTTCTGTAAACAGGAATAACGGAACGTCTGCGACTTTGTGTGTGTGTGGCGGTACAGGCACCCAGCGCCCGGGGAGCGGGCAGCGCTGCCAGGGAGGGAAGGAGGGATGGAGGGAGGAGGGGGCGGCGGCTTCGGCCGCGGCTCCGGGACTCGGCAGCGCCTGCCCAGCCGGCTCTGCCTCCAACCAGACCCCGAGCCGGGCATGGCCCTGCCCGGCACCGCCGAGCCCCGGCAGGGAGAGAGCTCCTGACCGTGCCCGGCACCGCCGAGCCCCGGCAGGGAGAGAGCTCCTGGCCGTGCCCGGAGAGCTCCTGACCGTGCCCGGAGAGCTCCTGACCGTGCCCGGCACCGCCGAGCCCCGGCAGGAGAGCAGGGAGGAGAGCTCCTGGCCGTGCCCGGAGAGCTCCTGGCCGTGCCCGGGGAGCTCCTGACCGTGGCCGGAGAGCTCCTGGCCGTGCCCGGGGAGCTCCTGACCGTGCCCGGGGAGCTCCTGGCCGTGCCCGGGGAGCTCCTGGCCGTGCCCGGAGAGCTCCTGGCCGTGGCCGGCACCGCCGAGCCCCGGCAGGAGGGCAGGGAGGAGAGCTCCTGGCCGTGCCCGGGGAGCTCCTGGCCGTGGCCGGCGCCCCCGGAGCCGGGGCTGCCCGCACCGCGCCCCTCTCGCTGCGCACACAGGCGCGCTCCCGGCCTCGCCCCCCGGCTCCGCGCGTCCCCACCTCGCTCTCTCTCTCTCACACACACACACAGGCGCGCACTCTCCCTCTCGCTCTCCCCTCAGCCGCAGGTGCACCGGCAGGCACTGAATGAGGACGAAAAGTTAAGGGATTAAAGCAATATGAACCATCGTTGCTCGTAGCGGTGCCGTATCCAGAGCAGAGCGTTATCCAGCCAGCATCCCCAGAGGAATGGAGTCGGTAAAACAAAGGATTTTGACTCCCGGCAAGGAGGGATTGAAGAATTTTGCTGGAAAATCTCTTGGTCAACTCTACAGGTAAGACCAATATCTCTTACAGGATTCTACTTCCCAGGAAAATCTGGGAGCTGTTCGTAAGCGCCCGTTGCTGCAGGAGCTCGAACGCTTGGAGGTTGGCGGTGGCAGGGCTGGAGCTGTGGCATTCTGCTGGATATAATCTAGCTCCTGGAAACTGGTGCTGGAGCTGTTCAATATGGCACCCTCGCAACTTCCCTGTCTGACTCGTACATGGTGTCAGTACAGATGCAGCAAAAGATTTCCCCACCTTTCTCCCACAAAAACAGGATCCCATCTTGAAATCCTAATCAGGAGAGAGCAGCGACCCGTATTTTTGTTCCATCTTAATTTCCCAGTGCACTCACAGGATCTTGCCCTCTGCCCTTAACAAATAATTTTTTAAAAATCTGGTTTTGATTAATCTCGTCCTTTATGTAATTCGTCGTCAGATGAAGGTAAACATGGAGATGTATAAATAATTGATATCCGAACGATTTTTTTTCTCCTGAAGCTGAAACATATAGAGGAATGTGTTTAATTATTTATACATCTGCCTTTAGAAGCATCTGCTTGTCCTATAAATGATATACAGCTGCAATTGCTAAACTCAAAAGCATTACTCTTGTCTATTTATGTGTGCGAAAACCATTTCTATCGTCATCGAGCCCTGTGCACACAGATAAATAAACCCAGATTCTTGCATACCTACGAAGAGCGTGCACTAAAGTTCACACGTTGCTCTCCATCCAATCTGGTGACTTTAGTGACCTGCAAGGCGTTTGAAAATAGTCTGTGAAATTCCAATTATTTTCGATTGTACCGTCTGCTAGAAATTACTCTGAAATATTTGGCTTGGCTTAGGGTGCTTTGTTAGTTTGGTTTGGGTTTTGGTTGCTTGTTTGGGGTTTTTTTTGTTTGGTGTTTTTTTGGTGGTTTTTTTTTTTTTTTTTTTTTTTGTTTTTTTTTTCGTTGGTTTTTTTGTTTTGGGTTTGTTTTTTTTCTTCCCCTCGAATTGCAGCTATAAGGTAACTGCGGATTTGTCTGCCCAGGGTAGGTCACGTAAAAATCTTTTTTCCATACCTATGCGGCAGTGCTGGGCACAGACACCAGGCTGTTTCACAGCATGAGTCACAACTTCTGCTGCCATTTTAAGGGAAGGGGACGTATCAGTGAAGTGATATAGACAAAATTAAAGCTTCCATTTTCATAGGAAGTGTACCATTAAGAAAAGCCAAAAGCAAAGTTAAAGTCATCAACAATGAAATTCACCTCCTACAGTTTTTTATTATATTTAAGTCATTTTCAATAGCTGAAAATTAATAATAATAATAAATTATAATCCAGAATAACTGCTTAAAATGTAATTTAGGAAATACACCCTTTTTTTCGTTCTTAAAGACTCTACAACGTTTAAATAAAACTATTATCCCTACTACTTGTAGTCACAGAGTGAATAATGGAGAAACGGTGTTTGTATTTTTCAGCAAAACTCCGTTTGAATTCACACCTCGACTGACAACCGGGCGATTTGTTAATCTTTTTCAGCTCACGGCAATTAAGTACTTTGTTTACTTTTCTTAGAATCTAAACCATTTTCTTGCCTCTTACACATTGATTTCCAGTCTATTTTCGAAGACAAGACGCCCATTCAGGGAGAAAACACTCCTACCCTTATCCGCACGAACGAATTTTGAACATAAACCCACGGTGTTTTATTTTATTCACAACTTAAACACATTTCTTAATGCCGCGATCTTTAAGCGTGGAAATCATGCTCCTAGAAAAGAAAAAAATCAGGAGAAATGCAGCTGAGTGGTTTTTGGAGAAAATCCCTGTAACTTTCTCCCGAACACGAACACGGCTAACCTTTTTAGCCTTATTCTAAGCTAATTGTTAGTGCCCTATCAGCCGGATGAGTTAACCTGAAAGAGATGCTCCTCCGAGTGAGAAAACACTTCTACAACAGAGTTGAGAGGTAGTGGTTGTAAAGTCCAGTGGCAAATAGTCACGTCTTTGCTTCTCAAGACGGCAAAATTGGTTAGCTTTTCTGGTTTTTAAATATCTCATTGATTTCAAAAGAAGATTTAGGGATTCAGGATGGGGCACTAGCTCTATAAACCTGATTTTTCTTGCTACCGACAGAGCATTTTAAAAGGTTGTTTTAAAAAAAATCTGAATGTCCTAAATCACCTTTCGTGGTATTTTCCAGCTGATTAGAAATAGCTGCGAACAACAATTTCCCTTCAGGTTTGTGCTTTAGGATTTTCAGGTAAAACCGAGGGAGCGAGGGCAAGGAGATAGCACCAAAAGCTGCTCTGGGGAGGTTAAAGCTGCTGAGTGCTCCCACGCCCGCAGCGTGCAGCCGAGCACCGAGACCTTTGGGGAAGCCTTCTCCGGTGATGCCAGCCCTCGCTCATGTTTTCTTTCACTGCAGGTGACAGCCATTTTGCAATTCTAAAATAAATAGCAATATCGCCCTCTCCTCCTCCTCGCTCCTCCCTCCCGTCTTTCTCTCTTAACATTTCTTTTGTTCCCAGACCTGAAGCGAGGTGCACCCCGAGATCACTCCCTTGGTGTTTCTAACACAGCAAGGAGGTAATAAAAGCTCCAGAAGCCTGTTTTTCTCTATTCCTGCGCCTCTTGGGCTGCCAACATGGCGCCTCTGCAGTGCTTACAGATGATGTCTTCTTGCTGCGTCCTACATATTTAAGCAGAAGTCTTTAATGATAGATGAGCAATTCCCAGCTAGAGCTCCTCCCTGGGCTGCTGCGGAGAGCGGCGGGAGGAGCTGGGGATGACTAATCCTGACTCCCGCAGGTCATTGCTAAGGAACAGCTGAAGGTGAATGGGAAGCAAGCGATGAACCCTCAAATCAATCTCCGAGCCAAAGGAGCCGAGGGAGCGGTGAATTTAAACCTCCGGCTCCCCGAAATTGTTGTGCCTTCAGGCGGCCAGGCCTTGACTTTCTGTTCTTGTGTCGGGCAGAGTCCTCGAGAAGAGGCAGAAGCCCGGGGACACCATCGAGCTGACGGAAGATGGAAAGCCCATGGAAGTGCCCGAAAAGAAAGCCCCGTTGTGCGACTGCACGTGCTTCGGGCTGCCCCGGAGGTACATCATTGCCATCATGAGCGGACTGGGATTCTGCATTTCCTTCGGCATCCGCTGTAACTTGGGAGTGGCCATCGTGGATATGGTCAATAACAGCACCATACACCGAGGAGGAAAAATTATAAAGGAGGTGGGAACTTTTCCCTCGTAAATGCCACATCCTCCCCGGTACAACTCTCAGTCAAACACCTCAGCGCAGGCGGGACGGGCTCTGGATGGTTCCGCGGCATTTGCCACACCTGAGCCCCGATTCTCCCGACCCCTTTCCCCCTGCCGGCCCCACCGCTGCCCTTCGAAGGACGGAAATCCCGTTCTCGATGCAGAAACAATTTCTCCCGATTATTTCTACTTTTTCATTTCAGTTCCTCGCCCCAGTTTGTGGTATTACTGTGCAGGCAATTCGCCCCCCGCCGTGTCTTTCCCGCACAGCCTTGAAAAACGCAGATAACTCCTAAAACAAACGGGAGTAGGGCACGGGAGAAGGGCGGCATCGAATCCGGGCTGTTACGGGGGTACGGGAGGCAGGGAGGTTTTGCAGAACGTTTGAGAGCACCGAGGCGAATTTGCTTTGACAAAAATGATGAGAGCCGTTTCAAAGCGGGGTGATAAAGACGTGACAAAGGCAGACGAGTCTTTAACACCGTATCCAAAGAACCCCTCAGGGCGAGAGGTGGGTGCGGGCTGTGTGTGCGGGCCGGGGGAAAGCTCTCCAGCGGCACAGTTACAGCTTCCCCTTGTCTTTCTCTCCTTCTGGCCCGGCGCCTCGCG